AAATCTGACAGCAGTTGCATAATTAGAACCCCAGTGGAGAGTTTCTTTTTAATCTTTTCAAAGTAAACCAATAAAACATCCTTTAGGATGTCAAGTGATGGATTAATACTCTTTGAATTGTTTAAATATCTTTGAGCTAGAGCATTGCCTCCAAGAATATTGCTTACTACTAAGAAGATACAAGCCACCATCTTTATCTTCAGGAGTTCATGTAGTCACAGGGCACGCAGATAACGACATGCCAATGGCCACACATGCATCTATGATAAGTTACTTTGTTAAATGGAGGGGTGAATAAATGGATACATTCACGTTAAAACAAACTTGATTTCAACCCCTTCGGAATATGTGGCGTAGCGTACGTGGGATAAATAATAATTACCTAGGGTTTCATTTCAGTGTAAGCGATCAATATGAGTAATTTAGACCACAAAATTGGGTTTTATTTTGCTTGAGCTATTCAGATTGAGCTATACAGCCTCAGCGACTATTGAACAATCACAGGAAAATTTTCTCATGGGGTCTGTGCTGTGTGGACACACGTTTGTGTCTACACGGTTGCAAGCTGCCTAGCTCTGGATATGGGACCCTGTTCACGCCTAATGTTAGGACAAACATTCTATCCCATCATGATGTTCCATTTAACCCTCGGTACAGACAGCCACACCTGAACTTTCCTTCTATGTCTCCCTCTAGCTGAAGGCCCAATTCTGCCCCCAAACACACACACACACACACACACACACACACACACACGCTGAGAGCAAGTGGCTTCTGTCCTTGGAACAGAGTTTACTAGAATGTTTCCCACTTGTTAGCATTCCAGTCTCTGATGACCTTTTCAGTGGGATCTTGCCTTCCCAGCTGTCTAAGGCCTGCCAGATGCTTCTAGTCAGACTGACCTTTAAGATAAGCCTGTTCCTTCAAGTTTTCTCTGGACTTAATTAGTTGGCAGCCTGATCAACAGAGCATCCTCCTGCCCAGCCCTGCCCTGATGGCTGAGAAAGGGCACACCCACACCCACATAGCCATTATTTTTATTGTTGTTGCTAATCCTCACCTGAGGATATTTTCTCCATTGATTTTAGAGAAAGTGAAAGGGAGGGAGGGATGAGGGAAGAGAGAGGGAGAGAAAGAGGAAGAGAGAGAGAGAGAGAGAGAGAGAGAGAGAGAGAGAGAGAGAGAGAGAGACATTGACATTGATACATTGATGTGAGAGATTGGAGATTGGTTGCCTCCTGCACATGCCCCAACTGGGGCTGGGGTTCGAACCTGCAATCCAGGTATATGCCCTTGATCGGGAATCAAACCCGTGACCCTTCAGTGCCCAGGGTCAACACTCTAACCGTGGAGCACGCCGGCCAGGGCCACACACCCATTATTAAATACTTCAGTCTCAAACAAGAATGTGCGACCCAATGATATGCATGAAATTGGTAGAACAGACACTACTGAACTTGGATTCTGGACCCAGCTGAACACACAATTAACTGTGATCTGAGACAAGTGCCCTCACATTCTGGGCTACATGGGACTGGACCAAAGGTCCCCTCCTTGTTCTAATTATCGATTTAATGGCCCATGTTGGAATATGCTTTCACCTTTGCCTGGTAGAATAAGCTTTAATTATTCAAAACATAGCACCAGGTCTGACATACACAATACATCATGTTTATGTAATGAAGGAAGGAAGGGTTTTTCTATACTAAAGTCTGGATGAATCATTTAGCTGGGTCTGCACAACACACACTCAAAATGTTCACACGGCTGCATGGACCATTCATGCTGTGATAGTCACTAATCAAATAAAACTGAGTGCACGCTAATTTCTCTCTTCACTGGGCAAGGTAGCAGATAGAGAATCCTGTGCCCATTTTGGACTGAGTTTTGGCTCCCCGAGCCGCTGAATCCATAAAAGCACCAGTAATAGTAATCATTGTCTCTGAAGACTCAGGGCATTTAAGGGGAAGGAACGATGTGAGCAGAAAAGAAAGTGACATAAGTAGGTCTTTACTTAAATCGCATCCAAGTATATTTTGCAAGAGAAGGCTGAAATGACAATCATGCTACTTTGGGATTCAGCAGAACCTATCTGACCAATGTGAACCACTGCCCCAGATCATGCTACTCGTGCTGCTATCTTGGCAATCCCTGCAAGGGGCTCATGCAGTGCTGAGCCGTCCACAGGCAGGTTCTGGTCCCTGAGTGCAGCTCCTCTCAGAGATGAATGTTGTCCTGTAGCAGATTTTGGAAAACAATGTTGGGTCATTCATAACACAGCCACACGCTTCCGTGTAGCCCTCCTACACTGCTTGCCTACACCCAAAAAACACAAATCGAGAAAGAGAACATAGTTCTTTTCCACTTGCCTAAAGAACAGCCATTCCTGCCAGTAGATTAAAGGCTGGGGCTTAGAACAATTTGCCAAAACACTGACTTGATTTTTTTTTGTGCAGAAAGCCTGAGAGAAGCTTTTGAAGCTATGGCTGGGCAGTGAATGAAGAAATTGATGGGAGCTTATCAAAGAAGCCCAGAGACAGCAGGTCCCAGGAATGGGGCCCGGTCTGTATGCGCTCACAGCCCATAGGGAAAGAGGATCCTGCTAACCTTTTCCTTTGTCACTGGGAGAGAAATGCGGTGGCCTCCCAATATGTGCACAGGTGTGTGTCTAGGTGGAGGAGAGCAAAAGGTGTGTTTACAAAAGGAGGAGCACAAATCAATAATGAGCTATGAACACATGATGTCATCCTTCGGGACGAAGCATCCTCAGTACTTTTAAAGCACTTAAAAAAACCACTCTAGTTGCTATAGCAACTTGATGCAGCTCTTTAAAGGGGATTTTTTTGAGGGGGTCATTTTATATCTTCAATCTCCATAACAACATGATATGGCTTTTAAAGGGTATTTTTATCCAATTTGTGTGTTGGAATTGGGCCATATTTGCCTTTTTTAGTTTAAAATAATCAGATCAAGCATGACACATGAAAAATCATTGAAGGAAAGGAAGCCCTTTAGTAAACGATACATACATACTGAGCGCGACATCTCCAGCTGCTCACATCCTGCGCATGGATGCCGTCTTTCTGCCTCCCAGCAGCCATCGGTGATGGCTTACGCTGGTCAGTTAGTCCGTGCCCCCCAGCCTAGGCCGGCATACCAAGCCAGACCAGAACCCACCCATGGAAGGTGTGTCTATGAAATCCCTCACTTCTCAGCCCAGTGAATCCAGCCCCCTCATCCAAAACTACTAGAGGTCCAAACAGCCCAGTGCCTTCTCCCACTCTGGGACTCCAAGCAGGATTGGACACACACACAATTTTGCCAAAATGAAAGCTTGTGTTTACTCTGCACCCTGTACAGTAACTGGGAAGGAGGTCTGTTTCATGTGACACCCAGGGGCAGGGAGAGGGGGGAAATGGGGAAAGTGGGTGAAAGGAGAAGAGAGGGTGGGGTGGAATGGGGAGCAGTGGTGGCTCCCGGATCTCTACAGAAGAAGCTCAGAGGAGGGGGGAGTGGGAAAAGTAGGGGGCCTCAAGGAGTACTTACAAAACATTTTTTGTAAGGTGGTGAAACCATGAGCTGTTTGTACCAAAAAGAAAGAAGGAGCCTGGCCAGCATGGCTCAGTGGTTGAGCGTCGACCTATGAACCAGGAGGTCTCAGTTTGATTCCCGGTCAGGGCACAGGCAGGGGTTGTGGGCTTGATCCCCAGTGTGGGGCATGTAGGAGACAGCCAATCAATGATTCTCTCTCATCATTGATGTTTCTATCTCTCTCTCCCTCTCTGAAATCAATAAAAATATTTTTTTTAAAAAAAGAGAGAGAGATGGGATGATGGCAAGTATAGAGATACTACCCCCCCCCCCAAAACCCTGCCCAAGTTACCCCTTGGTGCCGCTATTGGTTGGAAAAGGTGTCAAGGTAGCAAAGAAGAGAAGTCGAGAAATTGGAGGGAAAGTTGGGGGTGGGGAGAGGGCGTGCAGAGGAGGGAGAGAAAACCAAGGGTGGCCCGGAACAAGAGCAGCTGAAGTCTGGCCTCCAAGTCGCCCAGCTTTTCTGTGAGGAGGGGGCAGTGTGGACTCTAGGAAAAGCAGGTGGGAAGGGGATCTAGGAAAGAGATTCTGGGGAGAGTGGTCGCATTCCTCGGATAAAAGGGCTAGAGCAGTGGTTCTCAACCTTCCTAAAGCCGCGACCCTTTAATATAGTTCCTCAAGTTGTGGTGACCCCCAACCTTAAAATTATTTCCGTTGCTACTTCATAACTATAACTTTGCTACTGTGATGAATCGTAATGTAAACATCTGATATGCAGGATGTATTTTCATTGTTACAAATTGAACATAAAGCATAGTGATTAATCACAAAAACAATATGTAATTATGTATGTGTTTTCCGATGGTCTTAGGCGACCCCTGTGAAAGGGTCGTTCGACCCCCAAAGGGGTCGCGACCCACAGGTTGAGAACCGCTGGGCTAGAGGATGCTGAGGGGAGAACGCGTGGAAAAAGGGAGAGAGAAGAGGAGAGTAAAACGCTGAGTGGAGAGAAGGGGCTTTCCAAATTATTTATATGAAGAAACTGAGGCGGCAGGGGGGGCGGGGGTGGTGAGAGATAGAAAGGAAGCAGAAGGCCCATGTGCTCACAGGTCCTTTATAGAGGAAAAACCAGTCGCACAGAGGTTCAGGCATGGAGCTGACAGGTGCTGGAGCGCAGGCGGCCCCGGGTCTGCCAGTGCCGGGGTGAGGGTTCCACCCCATCCGGCCACGCTGCCAGGCGAGTCTTCGCTGGGTAAGCTCCAGGGAGGGGCCTCCCGCACCAGAAGCCAGTTAAGAGAGAAGAGGCCAAAGGAGGGGACGGGGCGAAGAAGAGAGGGCGAGAAGAAAGTAGGCAATGGGGCATTCGAAGAGACGGGGTAGCTGATGGACGCGGACTCAGCCGTCCAGCAGTGGAAAGGGCAGCAGGTGAAAGGCGCGGAGAGGGAACGCGTGCGGGGCGTGCTGCTCACCTATGGTGGATACCACGGTGCCCACGAAGTAGAAAGCGCCGGGGAAGTCCCAGCGCGGGCGCAGCGCGTCGGCTCGGACGCCGGCGGCCAGCGCGGCCTCGTAGTGCCGAAGGAAGGCGCGCAGCTCGGGCTCCGCCACTCCGTGCGCGGGGCCTGAAGTTGCGAAGGGTGGGGCCCCCAGGGGGGCGGGGGTTTGGGTTTGGCGGGGGTCTTCCCGGGGCCGAAAAAAAATGGGGGGGCCCCGCCACCAAGTAAAAGGCCCAATTAACCCCCCCCAGGAACC